ATTGTTTTGGAGGGGATGCCCAAAACGCTAGGGATTTGGGCATCCCGGGAGGGTACCGGGGGATGCCCAAAACGCTGCAGTAATATGAGAAGGGGATACCCAAAACGCTAGGGATATGGGAATGGGGATGCCCAAAACGCGGGGATGCCCAAAACGCTGTGACACCGGCACTAATTCTGCTACTCTTACCATCACCCGATGCTCTTTTACGTTACTCTAGTTCCACTATTACCTTCTTCCAAACTGTAGTTCTTACCTTGTGTTTTATTTAACAAACTTTTAAAAATTTCAAGGAACGACGCGATCTCCCGCCATGGAAATCCGTTTTCAACCAGATGAGACAGCAGTTCATAATAAATGTCAATTAGAACAGCCGTCTTTAAATCGTCTTCTGCGTTGAATTCTGGAAACTGGAGAAGTTTGGCCAACGTTTTCTTTCGTTTTTCGACGTCTAAATGAAGAAAGACTTCTTTAACATCTTTTGCTTCAAACGCCATCTTGGTTTCCATGGGAAGTTGGTAATATGGTCACGTGCTCTGTTGCTTTGTTTCTGAGGGGCCGAGGGGGTAGTTACTGCTAATTTTGTAACCACTACCCATAATGCGAGAGCAAAGAGAAAGTAGAATTGACCTGGACCATTAACTGCAGGCTCCTGAGTACAAGTGGTAACATTTATACTACCCCAGAGAGGGGGAGTACTCCCTTCAACGGCTAAGATAGCCTTGTTCCGGTAAATAAAAGGTAGGGATATCACGAGTTGAAATAAGGGGCTGGCAGATCTACATGTGAACTCGGACGTACGTTTGATTTCTATTAAATCAGACCTTTTTTTGGTATTTTATTGATGTTCATTATGGCCACAAACTTTTTTAAAAGGAATTTAAACATGTTACCTCTACCAGAACAACTATAAGTTAATTACAATCAAGAAAGAAAGCTGAAACAGAAAAAAAAATTCACAATTTACAGACTAATACTATTACCAATTAAAAAAAACCACACACACACACGCAAAACACACTAGACAATTAAGCGAAAATTAGGTACTAACTAAAACCAAAAAGTATGTGGTGTGACAAGCCAAGAATTTATGAAACGGCCATTTGTTTAGCTTTTAAAAGAAGCAAAATACACTTAAGTAATCCGGCTACTAGGTTTACTATTTTGGACATATTTCTCCAATAGGGTCGTGAAAAGCCCGCTCTCCATTGGAGTCAGCAATGATTGTCTAACAACACTGATGAGCCAACAATGTTGGGAGTTGTTGCGTCCCGTTGCACGTAGCTAAACTTTTGACCGGTTTCAAACTTTGTGCAACAACTCCAAACAACATCCAACAGGGTGTGCAAACAGATGCATCCAACAATGTTGGGGCAGTTTGTACGGGTCTTAACGGTATTTGCGCCTTCTCTCTCGGGAATTCTTTACCAAAAATATACGTTTATGTGAGACACAGTGTATTCAAAAAAAATAGACACCTCTTTTTCGAAAAGCATACATTAATTTTCATAGCTTTATGTAGAATTTCTTCTAACGTCTAAGATTCTTGAAGACCAACTTGCAAGCTAATTATTTAAAGTTTTACACTTTATTGCAATTATGTAAGACGCTGTAAGTGCTTTTGGACTTTTATGCAAAAAGCGCTTTATAAATAGGGACGATTATGTAATGTTTAATAAGCGAGCAGCAGTGTTTTATCGGGTCTAAAATCACTCGCCTTCGGCTCGTCATTTTAGACCTGATAAAACACGTACTGCGAGTTTATTAAACGACATCAAAGACATTCCACATTGATTTGTAGAATCTTGTGAAAACTTCCCATTATAAAATAAATACTAATTACTGATCTTCATTATCCGTGTTAAAGAGCGTTGTCACTCACTTGGTCGTGCATCATTAATTTATGCAAATTTATTGGAACAAAAGAAAGCATTTGCATAAGAAAAGAGTTTAACTCCCAAAGGATTGGTTTGGGACACTAACATGGCCACCGTTTCATTGTTTTGGGACACCAATATGGCCGCCGTGACGTCATGTGAAAACACTCTATTGACAAGTGTACAGCTATTTCGAGAAAGGTTGTCGGAAAAAGTGCACGCGACAATCCCGAAAGGCATCGTGGGTGGTTTTGAGTTCACTGTTCTTCAGAGAAATTTGAAAGAATTGGCACAAAAGTCCATGGAAATATGTTTGCGAGTGCTACAGTAGGTTCGACAGCTACAGTCGTCAGGAACAGTGTATCGATCATATCCCATATTACCTTTCGGGATTGTCGCGTCCACATTTTTGCCGACAACCTTTCTCGAAATAGCTGTATCAACCCTGCCGTTAGCCGTGTGTGGTATCTTTTAAGCGTGTAATTCTTTACTCACTTTTAATTCCAAAGGGTAGAAAAATTTTATTTATAAAATTGTTATATCTCTGTCATAAAAAGAACCATGAGGGATCTAGGCTTTTCAATACAGTGTAGCTAGGTGACAATTAGTGTCATCCATTATCAGAGTGAACATGGACATCCGTTATTCTGTCAATGGAATCCAGCTGTTGTGATATAAACTTCACTGTGTCTACTCCAGCTAGAAGTTGGCTAAAAAAAATGAACAAAATCAACAGACATTTCTCTAAAGAGTTGATAACATATTATAAAGGACACCATTAGTACTTCACAACACCACTAACTTTAATTCTGTACACACATTGAGGCAATGCATAATGCGTTCCAAAAACTGTGATAATAATAATTACTAACTTGGACGCCGCCTTTTAGTTTTATACTAAAATTTGACCTTTAATAGAGGGTCTCAAAGGGTCTCAAAGGGGTTAAACGTCAGCTGTCAAACGGCCTAAAATTTCACCGTCTGTTGTCAATTGTAATATTTTTACCGTCAAAAGTAAAAAATGCAGACCGTTAAAAAGTTCCAACGCATTTCAAATCTTTCTTTTTTTGGTATTTCAGCTGATGTTCATGGACTTCTGGCTCCTGAAAAATCTCCAAACTGGAAAACCAGTTCCCATGTTCTCAAAAACACTCCTTCTGGACATTACAAGACCTTAAAACAAGCCTGTGTACACAGGCTACCTTATGCTTATATCTCAAACTATTTTGAAATTTTAAACGCCAAGACAATCTTTAAAACACAACTGTTAACATAAATTTATACAGACGTTAATATTTTCTAAAACTCCTGGACTAAATTTCCACTTTATAACCGTCAAACGTCAAAAGCTCTAAAATTTAATCCTCAACCGTCAAACTCGGAGAAAATTAACCATCACCCTTCATTGCTACTACCTCATCGACAACATCTTAATAATAATATTATCCGGCAGTCTTGATCTGGAATTGGTTTTTCAGTGTATCCCTGGGTCCTCAGATAAAATTACAAATGTCATCTTGCAAAAAACCTTAGCCGCTCAAAGGGCCCCACTGCATTGTTAAAATCCATGGCTATTCTATCTCCTGGGGGTTGGAGGAGGGGGGCGGAGAAGTTCAGTTAACTGATACATTATGATTCAGGTGTACTAGAAAATAACAGAAATGGAGTTGCCATGAGAGAGATTAGGGCGTTTGAACCTGAACTGCCATGAAGTCATTTGCCAACTTTAGCTTGACTTTCCTGATAACGTTTTGGATCTCATAACTTTGAAAAGCTACATCAAACACTTATCACAGTGTTTCACCTATATTTGAGAAATATCAGACATCTCAAGTCTGAAAAACATGGGTGCACCTCTTTTTTCAAACACTTTTCTCTCTAGATTCTGTTCTATTCTTCCTGCCTGGATACATATTGCATGAAAAATAAAACCTTTCTACATGTACATACCCTTTGAGGAAGCATATGAATAACACACCTTATAGCTTGCTCAGCATTCTTTGCTGCTGCATTCATCTGGTCAGCAGCTGCTCGTGCCTTATCTCTCACGGCTGACATTGTACATTGATTAGCATCCAATAGTTGATTATATGTTGCTATGGGAACTGACTCTGTCTGGTGTAGAATATAGAGACAAATGATTCTTGTCAAACATGGTTTGTAGTCCAGCTGTTATCGACCAAAATTGTTCACTTTTATGATAAAAGCATGAAACTTTGCCAGATTACAACCAACCCTAAGACTAACATTTTTGGATATGGAGCCAAGCGAAATTCAACACTGGACACGAATACTGCGCAGGCCCTAAAATGGCCTACATGAAAACGAGGCTGTTAGTGGAAATCCTTCTAAAATACCATTTATTGAGTGTTACTGTAAATAAAAGTCATAGATATTGTGGAAGAAGACATTTGCTTTGCTGTCATGCTTTCTTTGGTGTCACGTGACCCCACCTTCCAAATATGGCGAGGTTATTGTTGGGTGTCCTGTGCTGAAGCTGTCTTCTGTGCATTTGTGCTTTTAAAGGTGTGAGAAGGGCCACCTTTTCAGGCAAGTTTAAATGATAACACTCTTGCAACTATTTTTCAATTATCAAGGGCTGTTTTTTACCACATAAATGCAAATCATTACATGAAAACGAGGCAAAAATCTTTTCAGCGGTTTGAAAAGCCTCCGGTTAACCCTGCGTGCGTCATCTTGTGTTGGATTCCTAGAGCATTGCCCAAAAGCCTGAATTAATAAAAAATTGTGATCGCACGGAGTTTTTGCTGCGTTTTTTTCTCCACAGACGACAATGGAAAGTCACATGACATAGACTTTTTCCTTAAATATGCCATATTTAAGGAATTGAAAAGCCCCCCTTTCTGACAGTTGTATCCACAAGATAGTTGTAGATGTCATTGTATCTGAAGAGTAGGTTGTACACCAGTTTTGCCAATGGTGAATCCACACCGTCCAAAAGAAGCAGTTTTTCTTTCATTTAATGAGTTCATAGCCACAAACTGCCACGATATACCCCTTAGTCAAAATTAAAACCTTTAGACTCGTTTGCCTCAGAAGTGTTGTTCCCTATACATATCTCATTCATGCACTGCTCGACAGGTATGTTGCATGAGCGCTACTCGAGTTGAGGAAACGCTGTGAAGGTCACTTTAGCTTCTCTTTCACTTCTTACCTCGTTTTATTGAAGATAATGAGGGCTGGATAAACAAACGCAAGTGCAAGGCGAAAAAAACAATTGAACTAACTCCTTCCCCAAACGCGTTTGTTTGCACTTAACGCTTGTCAACCAGGAAAAAACAATTGCAGCCGACGTTCTGGCTGTCTATTTGGGGCTATCGTGAAACGTCACATGCAAACTACACTCAAAAGGAGACGCAAGAGGGAGGGGTGTTAATCGAGAGACCTTGATCGCAGGCTAACGCAAACGCAAGGTAAAAAATGTCTGTCCGACATGATGGGATCAAGGATAATCAAATGGGCTTGTTTATCTCACCGTGCTTGAGTTTGCATTGATTACGTAAAAATCGATTGTCCTTAATTACGCTTGCATTCAAATTGCTCCCGTGAACAAGGCTACAGACTGTTTTCCCTTTCAACAAACATATCCCACAAATTTTTCAATTACATTCATTCAGTTGGCAAATGATGTCAGGGATCTCAATACCAATGCAAGCTTAGATCAGGACTCAACGCCCACGTGACACTGACATCATTTTCTTTGGCGTCCATACTATACATGGATAACTAAAATAACTAGCATCGCCTCATTGGTGGAATGGGTTCTGATTTAACTGTTGATGATCACTCAAACTAGTATAAAATGTCTGGACCACGAATTAACTGTCAGTCGGTTTCAGTTTATGCAAACAAGATGCAAGAGCGTTAACTTATGTTGGTGGGATGTGTGCAGCACAGTTTTAAAGTATGCGGAATAAATTTTCTTAGGATTAGGGATCTACGACATTAGTAAAATCTCATTTCACCATATGAATTCCCATCTTCTCATTCATGGAAAGATTTCACTGTTTCGATTACTATTCTTCACCGATTTTAGAAGGGTATTTCTGTTTTGTTTTGCACATAAATGGATACACAGATTCGTTAGTTGGTGCACCTACCGTCATTTTGAATAAGGTGACTTGCGGTTATATAAGCAATGAATGAGCCACACCCTCCTTTTCAACTCAGTTCTGTTACTAAGCTGCTGTTCATCTGGTACTGGTAAACTGCCTGCTGAGCATTTTGAACAATATGAAGTTCGCGGAGTATGAGCTGAAGCTAATCTTTGTCATTACACATGGAGCCAAATACTCCAAGCAGCCTGTCTACAGAATAAGTCGAGCTCGTGGAAGAGATTAAGCTGTATATACGGCTGCTTTGAGAACGATGATGATCTTAGTGTTGAGTGGGATAATAAAGCAGCCCAAGTCCCAAAACCCCATACGAATCTCTTCCTACCCACTGCAAACCCTTAGCATTTTAATTTTCTCAGCAGTTTCCATTATTATTGGTTTCTGATTAACTGGTCTGTTAAAGATACACTCTTAACCCCCCTTTGATGTCTGTAGTAGAACACTCACTTGTGGTTGTAAAGTTAGCGATAGAAACCAGCTCTATTGGTTGGATGTTTCGCTATTTTCCTTTGATTTGGAACTTTTTGTCGCATAAAAGGTCAACTTGTCTGTGGCTGGACCGATGCACAAAACGTTGACATTATCAACTTTTGTGGTAGAAAAAGATAACATTTTTCTCGGCTTAGATTAGTACACAACCAGGGATTTTATTTCTGTAACGTTTTAAAATATTGTAGTTCGTCCAATATAATTGGTTATGAACCTTTCATATGAGGTACACTTTCCCAAATTGAAAAACATTAACCGAGAAGTCGATAATTGAATTTAAACTTTCCCTAATTATAAGGTAACGAGCGCTCTTTGGACCTAAAGTGTACCACCTTCAAGTTAGTGTTGCATCACGGCTAGCTAGTGCAATGACTTGAAATGCTCAAATCATAGTAATTTTGTGCCAATTATTCGAAAATTCTCTTTCATTCGAGTGGTATGAATTAACCATCTGTAGTTGCCTACGGCTTGTGTGTCTAAATTGTAATTTATTTGAGAAAGTTTTCAAGCACCGCATCTTTTGCTGCTGCTGCTCCTCAACTATGGAATTCATTGCCCTACGCGATTAGGGGTAGCCCCTCAGTAGCATCTTTTAAAAAGACACTCAAGACATTTTTATTTCAGAAAGCTGTGATTTTATGTGCTTTTTAATCCCATTTTTAGTAGGTTTTATCTCGATGCAGTTTTTTTACGATTTAGTTTAGTAGTTTAGGTAATTTTTACAGTTTAGTGTTGACAAAATTGTTTTCACTCTTGTTGGTGGGTTCATGCACTTTTTGCATGTATACTTTATGCAGTCTTAGTGTTTTTTGTTTTTAATATTTTTATTTTTAAGCGCTGATGAAAATAGCAATATTGATATCAGCGCTATATAAGTATTATTATTATTATTATTATTATTATTATTATCATTATTGTTATTATTATTATTAAAGATTACCGTTAGAAATATGAGTAAAGTTAAGCTAATTCCTTCATCTATTTCAAGTAGCTCAGTTGTTGTTCAGTTATAAGGGATAAGCATGCACTCTAAATATACTCTGCCTTGACGGCATACGTACCCACAACTTTGCTTTTTTTTTGTGAAAGCGCTCGACGTTCTGTCAGGGAGCTGAGTTTGAAAGCATTAATTTCTGGTCCTTAACGGGGAAAAACATGGCCTTTTTTATTACATTCAGATTGATCATCTTGTTTATATTTCATGTGTTGATATAAAATTTAAAAGAATATCAATTTGGGAGCTTTAAATTGCGTATTTCAAAAATGGTCTCTACAAGACCATCCTGTCATCTATTTTTTAGACATAATAGAGATATGGGGAGGCACGGTCGCTTACTACTGCACGACCTGTTCATTTTTACCTCAAAGACTGTTCTATCTCATGCTTTCAATGTAAGCAACAACCGGTAATATTAATTTCAACTTCAAAGGATCAAATTGGCATTTCTTCAAAATGAAGGGGGGGAGAGCTATTTGGGCCGGGCCATCTCCTGTATTCAGCACTGAATCTTGTAACTGACTTTGTTAATAATTGAACGGAGGATTCCCTAAACGATTCATTCGTTTATTTGAATATTAATAGCTTAACGGCAGTATCTGAACGTGGAGGCTAGAAACTGGAGGCCAGATTTGAGATCATCAAAAGGATTTTTGCCTTGTTTTTGAGCGGCGCTCTACATTTAGATGGAAAACAACAGCCAGAGTGCCATACAATCACAATTTTTGATCAGTTTAAGCTTCTATGCAATGTTATCTGAATCCACCCCTAAATGACCGCACGCGGTGCTAACTGGAGGCTCTTCAAACAGTTTAAAAGATTCTTGCCTTGTTTTCATGTGGTAATTGACATTTGTATGAAAACAAATCCAACCCTTGATAATTGGAAAATAGTTGCCGGAGTGTTATCATTTAAAATGGTGTGAATCGGTGCCCGTTCTCACCCCTTAAAACGCCCAAATGCACAGAAGACAGCTCCAGCACAGGACACCCAACAACAGCTTCGCCATATTTGGAGGAAAGGGTCACGTGACACCAAAGATAACATGACAGTAAAACAAATGTCTTCTTCCGCGAGATCTACAAGTTTTATTTACCAAAACACTTAAAAATCGGTATTTTAGGAGCATTTCCACTGTCAGCCTCGTTTTCATGTAGGCCATTTTAGGGCCTGCGCAGAACTCGTGTCCAGCGTTGAATTTGGTTTGGCTCCATATCCAGAAATGTTAGTCTTAGGGTTGGTTGTAATCTGGCAAAGTTTCATGCTTTTATCATAAAAGTGAACAATTCGCTATATTTTTGGTCGATAACAGCTGGACTATTGATGACACAAAATTAAAAATTAATAAAAAAAGGTCATTGTGGATTAAGGTTTTATGAAGTTTAAATAATGGAAGACAGTTGTTTCTTTTTTTTTACTTGATCGACTATCCCCAGCTATGTTTTCCTCCACAAAAGATTAATATGCAGTCATTTGGTCTCTTGTTTCATAGGAGGCTGTTTTGTCTCTTATGTTACAAGGAACTTTTTGGAAAGCAAGCAAAACATCGAGAAGAGGAAAATAAAGAATTGGAATTTTCCAAAAATAAAATAACTGAGATGCATGGTTACATAGCAGTCACGTGACCTCAGGGTGATCACATGACAGGAAATTTCATCACAACTGTTTGGTAGTTCTAGCCCTCCATCACAGTAAAGATAGGGGTGTCTTGTTTTGATCTCTACAGCCTCCTTGATCTTCCTTTTAAAAGTGTTGTCTTCTGCGAGTATAACCTTCACGTTATCAGGTGTGATGGAATGACCTGCTGTAGAGCAATGTTCATGACTGCAGACGATGCTTGGTGCTCCTTCAATATGGTACCCAGAGCCCTAGCCATTTCTCCCATGTAATCATGATCGCAGTCTTTGTATTTTACATGATAGATCATACCGCACTGCTGTAGGGTTGGGGTCTTATCCTTGGTGTGTGAAAGCTGTTGTCTGAGGTTGGTGAAAGGCTTGTGGTAAAAATTGACTCCATGTTGTTTAATCATTCTGTGAAGGATTTCCGAGGTACCTCGCATGTATGGCATACCCATGTTGATCTTGTCTCATCCGCTCTGCAGATGGAATGTCCATTAAGTATAACCGTAAGCCCTCAGGACCTCCTGAACATGTTTGATCTCTTTCTCCCAGTCCTCTGGTTTGGTCACTTGGTGATCTGCACAGTGAAGTAGGGTGCGAACGATTGGGAGTTTGTTCTCTAGATGGTGATTGGAGTTAAAGTTTAAATACTGATCTGTATGAGTTGGTTTCCCGTATACTGTGCAGTTGGGGTTAGTTTAATGGTTAGTTTCAGGAAGGGTTAGTTTAACGTCTTCCTCTGGTTCCAAGGTGAAATTGATGTGTAGATCTCGGGAGTCGAGACGCTGGAAAAACTTCTCCACATGACAGCAGTGTAGTTTGGTGAAAGTGTCATCCCCACATCTGTACCATAATGAGGGTGGGTTTCTAGCTGATCCAACAGCTTCTTCCATAAACTCCTGCACGTAGATGAATAGCCACTATTGGTAACACAGGCGACTACATTGCTGCACCATGTTTCTGTATATAGATCAGGCTGTCACAGGCAAAGTACGATGTTGTATGCTCTTTATAGTAACATCTTTGTCCACCTTGTGACTATTTCACTGCAAAGGACTTATTTTGGTTTGTTAATGAATGCAAAAGAACCCAGTGTTAATGCTAGGCTCCAGGTGCTCCGGATAGGTTTCCTTCTGCATTTAACATTGAGTATATATGGAAAGCCTCTTTGAATAGAAAGTACAAGGCCACCATGTCAAGACACTATTTTCCAAAGTTCTTGATATGGTTTTCTTCAAATCTTTGGTTTGCAAATTCAGAAAACCAAAATGTCGTAATAATGTTAAACTGCAGTTGTGAGGTTTAATCCAGTGCGTCTTTACATGTTTGTCAGAAAAACTGTTGTTTTATTTGGATATGTTTTGGCTTGCCATGAGCTAGCCTGTGCCAGGTTTTTCGCCCCCCAGAGTCTGACAGCAATTCTTCTTCTTCTTAGATAAAATTACATCAAAAATTAAAATAAAAAAGTAAAATGGTCTTTCTGTGTACCTTCAATATTTTGATTTCTTCCTTAAGTTTTGCAACAGTTGCCTCTGCTCTGAGGGCCCTTTGCTAAGAAAGCAAAAGACAACAAAATAAGTAAAATTTATGATCCTAAAAAATAGTTTCTTGTAAAGTTTTCTTCCTTTTCATTGGACGAGAGCCCACAAGGTTACCTACAAATAACTGCCTGCAAATAACGGTCTAAAAACCAACTAGGCCATCAAATGATAAAATAATTATTGAACTCCACTATTTCAAAATATCATGATTTGTCAGTGTTTCGCAGATCAATAATAATAATATTTTACTTGCCATGCACTGACAAATCACAATATTTTGCTCAACTTCATCCAATAATTATAAATTATTTGCAACAAGGTTTGAGCCACAACATCACAGCAAGCTATATTGTATCTAAGTGCTTCATAGACTTGTTTGGTGTGACTACATAATGTGTGTTGTTTTATCTTAAAAAACACTGAATGCTTTCCCTCTATACTCAGTTGAAAGTAAGGTTTCAGTGAAGCTATTTACTCATGCTTGATGCAAGCTATGGGACTAGATAACACGCCAGCATAAGTGAAAATGGTAAGGAATGGCAGTTATGAAGATGAAATGCAAAAATGCATACTGTAGTGAGCTCCAGGTTTTTTTCCACCATCTGAACCATATTTTCCAAGGCTGCTGTCTCATCTGCTTCTCTTTTTTCAATCTTTGTTAGCTTTTTTTGCAAACTAACAATCCTTTTGAAATGTAAGGAAATAGTTAGTTATAAAATTTACTAGTTATTACAGATCTGGACTTGCTTATAGTGCTTGATGGGTCGCAACTGGAAAGCAGGGAGTATATATTAAACTAGAAGTGAGGGTGAATAACTTCATTAATTTTTCACCTGTAGTATATAATATTTTTCTTCAAAATGGGATTCCTTTCCGAATTATATAGTGCTTTGCTTAACATATTCTTCTCTGGAAGTGCTTTTCAATGCCAATTTCAAGTTAATACCTTACCAAAAGAGAAAATTTTTATTTTAACCACACAACTGTCTGCTCAACTTGTGCAGGACAACGAGATCAGTAAACATAAAGGACTGACAAAAATGTTTGCAAAATTAAATGGACAGTTCTGTTGAACTACCTTTTTTGAAGGAGTCATTTCATGTTCATCTGTTTTGATTAAATACATTCTGTGAAAGGTTTGAACACAGGAGTCATTTCAAAAGTAGGTTGAGTTTGTTCGTCTCGGTGTACGTAGTCCTGAATAGGACTGTTGTTGTTGACACTGACTGACGTTTCGACAACCTGTGTGGTAGTCATCTTCAGAATCAAAGTCACTTTGACTCTGAAGATGACTACCGCACAGGTTGTCGCAACATCAGTCACTGTAAACAACAACAGTCCTATTCAGGACTACGTTCACCTGGACGATCAAACTCAACCTACTTTTAAGTACATTCTGTTGCTTAAGTTTATTATTATCATTATTATAAAACTATTGCTTACATACTGATCTCTACATGATTTGATTACAGTAATAATACACTGTCACCTTATCTTGTCTTCTTCTCTTGCTTGGTTTGATACTTTTAAATCTTTCCTCAGTTTCTCATTCTCTTCTTTTAACTGAAAAACATATTTACGTAAACATTCATCTGTACTATGTGTAGAATTAACTGCAAACTTCATTCTTAAAAAAAAAATTGAGAATAGCTGTAGTCCAAATCCAGGAATCTAGGAAGGCCAAACAGAGCAAAAACAATGTAACATACTGATTAGGTGTTGGAAGAATATAGATGTTTCAATGGACCTTTGATATAAACAGGCATTAGATAAATTTTGTCCACATCATATGACAAACTAGAATGTTAAGATATTGAAGTAAACTAGAGTATATAGCCATTTGTTCAGTTTTTTCAAAGAAGGTCTTTACTGTGAATAATTATTTCAGAGACCTGTGAAAACAAAAAAATCTTTCTGGAATGTAATTTTGTGGCAATGAAATAGCCAATCACAAAACTAAACCACAAGGAGCAGTGGCAATAAATATATTTGGTTTTCCTGTCTATCCATGTCTCTTAATCTTTAGTATGATGGGTTAATAAGCAAGTACATGATCAACATTCCCGTTTGACAGTTTAATACTTCTACTCTCTGAAAAAGACACTTTAATCCTTTTAGTCCCAAAAGTGACCAACAACAATTTTCTCCTGACAATACCAGTACATAATCAAGAGAAAAGGTAATGAGAATCAATAAAATGATCACCAAAGCAAAAATGCTTTCATCTTTTATCAAATTTTCTCAACTTATCCTGTAAAGAAATGTATGGAGATCAGTCTAGAGAATTTAAAATTCTACCTACCTGGTTAAGTTCCTCAATTACCATGGCCTGAGACCTAGAGCTGTCAAGAGGGGCGATAAAGTAGTGTACACTGCCTGACACTGGTGAGCGGTCACTTGAGATTTGTTCTGAGTCACTGTCTGTGTCCGAGCCTGTGCCTTCTGAATCTGTTTCCTCAGATGTTGTCTTTTCATGTTGCAACTCAACATCTTTGTCTTTCTCTTCCTGTACATTTGCAATGAAGAAGAACTCTGTCAATACGTCAAAACCTTGTTAATACGGGCACTGAAGGGGCAATAGAAAGTGTTTGTGTTAACTGGGTGTCTGTATTAAGTGGGTCATGTTATGAAAGTCAAAAAGACACCTTTCTCACAAAGCTGTCATTGTTTGGACAAAACCCACAGGAACACTAAAAAATTATAATCATCTATACATTACTTAATCAAAACCGTTCTCTGCATAATTCATGTCATGCCATATAATTTATATATTATTAAAAACTGAATCATTGGATAATGCAATTCTAGCATTTTGATTGGCTTAGCCGTTATGGTATATGAGCTATTATACCATGCTCTCCATATATGGTCGGTGTACGCGTCAGTTTAAAATTGGAAGGTAGCTGAAAAGGATAGAACCGAAGCAAATCGTTTTAATTCATTTCTTAGAATACTAGAAATGCAATTTCATCGAAAGAAAAAAGACAAAAACAAACAAAAAAGCCACAAGAGCTTGTTTGAAAGTTTGTCGAAAACACACATGGAACTAAAGTACCTTGACCAGCTACGAAAGAAGACAAGTGTTGTTTCTTCATGATCGTAAAGCCATTCGCCGATCGAGTCATTCCCCGATAGATAACTGTGGCTTCTTGTTTATCTGACATCAAGAATATAAATCACAAGTAACCAGCTACAAATACAGGCTATGCAGCCATTCACTAGAGCAATCGAGGCGGTAGTATAGCTTCTTTCCTTGTTCAGCAAAACCAGCTTGTGGCTTCAAACAACTTCATAGTAAGCGACCGAGGTAATAGTTTTTCTCCTTTGTTCTTACTTTTATAACTGCACCGAAAATCCAAATTCACAGTAATTTCAACAGCTGTCACTTAAAAATTCTTTTCCTTCACATTATCTGCCAGGTTTTTTTTAGCTGTTCTGCTGTGTAAAATCCTAAAATCCCGATGAGTTTTTTAAAAACTAATGTTCATCGCTACAATGTTTTGATTTTTCATTCATGCAGTCCAGGCGAGTCCTTTCGCGCGTTGACAGTTTTGATAGACGTGTGACATGTGAATAGCAGAAGGCCTTTGTCTTTTCCGGTTTGTTCTAGTCTGGGAGATTCAACGAGATTTTGTGGGCGTTTTTAATAAAACAATTATTCCACTAGCGCTTGTTGGATATGAGATGATTATAGCCAATTTGGCTCTATGCGCCTCGTTGGCTATCTATCATCTCATATCCAACGCGCCCTCGTGGAATAATTTATTGTTACATAGGGCAATTCCAGAAAATATCCATACCCAACCACGGACGGCTTCCATGTTTTAACCCCCCCTTGCCTTCGGAAATTCCAAAATGCGCTACCCCCCCATGCCCTCAGAATTCCATAGTCGTGAACCCCCCCTCCCCTTCAGAATTTCCGGGTTTTTTTGGAAGTACATTTTCGACTTAGCAACCCCTATAAGAACAAACGAACATGAATTTATGCCTCCTCAAGGCTGTGATCTAGCGGCGCCAGGTTTATCGGACGGTTTCGGACGGGAGTAACAAGAAATTTGCAAGGGGTATTAAAAGATACATTTTCAGTTTTTATTCACGTGACAAGAAATTCATCAAGGTAAATGTGAAACCAACGTTTTACTGTTCACTTCTATAAGTTATGAGCGTAAACACGTGTCTGATCTATCGATGCTTGTCTTCTGCTTCCGCGGTCATACGTTCGTGGTTTATTTACGAACTACAAAAGTCCACAACAATAGCGTTTTCCAGGAACTTACTCTACACTTTCTACTCCAGAAATCCCACCTGTGGAATTCCCCCATACCTTCGGATTTCAAATCGTAAATACCCCCCCCATGCCTTCAGAATTCCATAATCGTGAATCCCCCCTCCCCTTCGGAAATCCTTAAAGCCGTCCGTGGTATGGTATGGATTTTTTCTGGAATCGCCCATAGCTGGAAATTGACATCGACAATTCATCTTATACGGTGTACCGGTATTATAGCACTTTGAAAAGGAAAGGTCCATTACAGCACACAGTTGATGATGAAGTGTCCACAAAAGCAAGGTTGACTTTTTATGAGCAATATCTGTCATGTTGTTTGGGCAAGACACAAGTGTCCATTGTCCATATTAACAGCGGGTTGGATGAGAAAGTGTAAGGGCTTTCCATGGAGACAAAGAAAACTGTCTGAATTACAATGAGGAGTCTGTATTGAGCGGGTGTCCATACTGCGGGGTTTGACGGTATTATGAATTCAAACCATAACATTATTTTACCTAAAAAAATTTTTGAGGTAAAATAATATGATGTATTTTTAATTTTTCAAAAATGGTAAAATGTAATATATTTAAATGGAATTATTAGAGTAATATGCATTCAAACTGCTTTTTCATCACTGGCCAGATCAAACAAACCGTTATAAGTATAATCTCTGTCCAGCACTGTACATACTAACTACAGTTAATTTACAAAAAATTAATGAATGAGGCTGAGTATTTTGGAGATCGAGGAGGGTGTTATCGACCAAGGCAGATAACACCCTCTGAGATCTCCATAATTCTTGATATGATACAAAAGCTGAATTCAATAATTGTTTTATTATTCATTCGTTGTAATTCCTAGTTTAAAAACATGGCTAGAACATGCTTACCTCCATCGATCCATCAATGTTAAGTTTATCTTTGATAGTGCACGTTTTGGGTTCATTCAGCTTCCATGGTATGGTATGAGTTATGGTATTGCTGTTCTTGCCATGATTTTAGCTTCCTATTATTTTCCCTAGTTCTTATATACTCTTGAAACAAGTGAAATGTCCACCATTTTTTGTTTTCACAACCCAAACAACTCAACCTCGTCCACAGGTCTTCTCGGTTCACAGGTCATTAACCTGCAAGAAAGCTGCACTTTTGACGTCATCGGTTCATTAAACGCAAAATTCTTCCAAATTTGGTCATCAGTAGCTGGTTATGGTGAATTATGCGTGTGCTTTTAGCCAATCAGAATCAGGGAAATATTTTGAATGAATAATAAATAATGTGACTGAAATGAAAATTGAGCTTGCTCTTACAGTCGGTGGATTGTCTTCTTGAACACTTTTCACTTCATGGACTTCATCATCGATTATCTAAAACAAGAAAACTGAGGATGGATTATCATCAGTCTGTTATTAAAGAATGTTTTTTATCTTCTTTGTGCTGATGACAAAAAGGGAAAGATGGCAAGTTTGTTGCCCTCTCACAAAATTAAAACAACTTCTCTTTCTCTTTGAGCTTTCCAACCATTTTTTAAAAACACGACGAGAAGTCCTTTTTATGCTTGGGGGTGTTCACAAAGGGTGTCTAGAAAATGAAGACCAAAGACCAAAGACCTAGAAAAGGAAGACTGTAGAAAACAAAGACCTAGAAAAAGACCCAAGACCTAAGACCCGGAAAACTACATGTAAGACCTGGAAAACTAAGACTCGCAAAAATAATACCTGGAACACTGCAATATTCCCCAACAACATTAACTCCTACTAGCGCAGTTCGCGGTCCGCAGTTCACTGGACCAAACAAACACTTGTAATTTTCCTCCATCGTTCAGATCATTAATCCATGTAAAGCGAAACAAGCACACTGTGCACTTGAAACTTTAAATCTCAACTACACCAGTTAAAGCAGCTGGTGATTTCAACACTAGTCTAAATTCACTGGCAATGACTTTGGGACTGCGGACCTTGCAATTTTAAAAAACCAACTTGTTTTGCTAAACATTAATGCGATAATGCTGTTTCTTTTAAAGTTCTGTAAGACCTTGTTTTGTTATGAAATATGCCCTGTTCTTCTTCTTCTAATAATTCATAGTCCGGCACGATGATTGTCTTGTGAATACTTAAGGACGCTCGATATCTGTTTCTGTTTTGGACTTTGCTCAGTACTGTCAACCCTTTCACACTGTCATGACATGAAAGTAATACACAAATAGCTGTGATAAATGTGAGCAGTCAGCGATGATGATGGCCGCGTCTTTTGAAGCTGGCTAGTTTTGTGTTATTTGTTTCTGTTTTTGTGTGTAGGGTGTTCATTTTCTAGACACCCGTTCACAAAAGCCTGAAATAAAAATAACTTACATTTTTTAACCAAATGTTATTTCCATTTTTTTAATATAGTAGAAGTGGAAACCCTTGGGAATCAGAAAAAGTGACTAAGCATCTAGCTGACCACTTATAAGAATATTTTCGTAACCAAAGCATTCATACAGGCTTTTGTTTAGGCAGCCGGTCCATTAAGAGAGCTTGAATTGAAGCTAGTGCTCTAGATTGCGAGCAAGCTCTCCATTTGGGGGAGTCAAAAGAGGTCACACGAGAACCGCATGCAAAAAAGGACAAGAGTGCGAGGGGTGGGGAAGGATAGGATAGCTTGCAATGATCTCTCATAAATTTTCATTTCCACCCCGGAAATTGCAAAGCATGAAAACTGTATCAGCCGCTTCCAGTTAATACCCTCATCAGGCTAAAAAAACGCATTCCTAAAAGGAGCAAAATATTTCAATCCGCACTAAAACAAGCCTTGTAAAAGAAGATAATTGGCCTGGAGCTTCTGGTCTGGATCATAGCCTATAACCTGAGTCAGATCTACAATATTCCTTGAATTCAGCAAAGAAGTGTTACTTCAAAGCAACTGCATTCTGTTTTTACTTTAGCATCATCAGAAATCACATTTTGTCACTTTTCCAGCTGTTTAAAAAAAAACATTTATCACTGCAATGGTTTTCTTTTTTCCATGAGAAGACTGATTTTCCAGGTATCCGCTTGGATATAAAATCAGCTGCTTTCCTTTTGGGGAAACTCACAAACACAACAACGTGCCCAGATTAACTATTGTAATACATTTTCCTGGCAACCCCTTAGCCTTCTGATTTGCTGGTTTATGATGACCTAGGTTTAGGCCAACAAAAACATTTATGCAAATGAGCTTATGGTGATTTGAAATCACCTTTGGCTATAGATTATTAAGTGTAACTAAAGAACGCATTCTGCAAGTTTAGGTGTTGCAGACATCGCCTCAGAGGCCGCTCTTTTAATTATTTGGTTGCGCTTTATGACACCTTGTAAGTCACAAGGGAAACTAAACGTCAGTTATTGAACATTTTCCAGAACTTTGCCTTGTTTAACTCACGTGGCTAGCAGCAGTTTTCGTATGAATTCTCACTTACGTATTTCTACAACACTGGGGCAAATAAACTTGTAATCATTGTGTTAACATCTTTTCCTGTGTAAAACAACACACTTGAGAGAAATCTGGAGTAAAAAAATGAAAACTTGAGTTGAATTCCTTGAATTAAATTAAAAGTGCATCCAGTGAGTTGAATTACCTATAATTGCCACTAACCAGTAAAGATTTTGCTGGGTTTACATACTGGTACACTTGCTTAACTCACAAAAATCGATAACGCGCGAGGCTTTCTTTCAGGTCAGGCCAGAATGAAACATTGTTTAGTATTTACACTCAAAAAATAGTTGTAAATGTTCTTTAGTAAACGGCCGGTAATAGTCAGACTTGCAGAACTTTCAGGCTTTGCATTCATGCAAAACACCACAGACTGATTTAGGCTTTGCAAACAACTGTATCCTTAGTAAAGACTGCAATGAACACATTTAGGACTCATTTAGTCCTGGAGACTCGCGGTATTTTTACTGAAATGAAATAAGACTCTGTGTGAAAAACCTCTCCTTGATCCTGTATCCTGTTACGTATCCCGGCAGGTGGTGAAGGGTTATTTACAACTTATGTACAAGATTGAAAGGCTTCCTGGTGAGAATTTTTTTTTCAGCCTAATCCTGCCATATGATGTATAATCCCTGGGCTTGAGATCTAAACTAAACCATAAAACAACAACAACAACCACACAGTGATCCATAGTAATCTTTCACTGAATGAAAGAATGGTCTTCTTCCTTGGAAAAAGGAGAAGGGTCAGGGTAGACAGCTGGGTAATTTTCTTGATTTCCGTGAGCATCATGTTTCTAAAATTTTGGCCAGGAATGTCATCAATCAAAATTAATTGACGGTGAGTCACTTTTCAGTTAATGGTACACGTATATTATATTTTGCTTTGTCTGGGGGAAGGAGAAATGAAAATTTATAAGAGATCCTGTCATAATTGGAGAAATTTCTCACAGGCTACTGGGGTTTTAAAGGACCTTTGCTGGCAAAGAAAACACTCCCCACAAACACACATCAAAATACCTCATGCATGTTGTACATGCCTCTGCTTAATATTAAAGATGTTAGTTACTGCTGGAGTAAGTGAGAAAGATGTCAGTATAATAACATTTTAAGTATGAGACAAGATAATAAGTAGAAGATAGATAATACATATAGGTATCCCATGCAGATTATGCAGATTGAGGAGCAGTGTAATTGGTCCTCCTTGATCTGCACAATTCTTTAGATTAGACTCTGCATAATCTATTAGACCCTAACATGGTATAATTATTGAAATAATAATTAGACATAATTGCATGAGACTGAGTATGATCTAAAGAATTATCGAGAGGCTCATTAGACCGAGGTGGATAACACCCTCTGAGTTGACTTCTATAACTCTTCAGATCATACGAAAGCCGAATACAATATTTCTTTATTATTCATTCAAAATAATTCCTAGTTTAAAAACAAGCTTCAACATGCTTACCTCCATTGATGTTAAGTTCCCTTCTTCATTTGCATGTTTCTTGGCAAGTTCAGGAGATTAAAAGATGTTTAGTTCTGTGGACAGTGGCAGACGCAAAACGTGTGGGAAATGTTCCGCCATTTTGTACTGCTTTACCAAAACAACAACAATGCAACCTCATCCCCAGTGCTCTTTAATTGCCCCCTATTTTTCTGTCATTTATGCTGTACTATTGACATCATTTTCCAAGTAATGAAAAATGACTTCCAAATTTAGTGAACTCTGGCTAGTTGTGAAGAACTAGCCATGGGATTTGAGAAATATTCTGAATGAATAATAATTTCAATTATGCCACATTAGGGTCTGTATGAAGTAATTTAATATTATTGTACATACAGACAGAAAATTATTGGTATGTGTATGACAAGAAAATAAAAGAAAACGATTAACTGTAAATACCTGAAGAACACGTTTATTTCTTGACGCCAGATCATCTGACAAGAAATTTTTGAATGAGAAGGGATTTGTATCACCAGGTTTTTGGTTAACATCAACATGGCCTGTAAAGGCAAACAGTGAATTCATTTGGGTAATTTCAACTTGATCGCACTAACTTAAACATTCTGCTTTCTACCTGACAGTAAATAGGTATAGTTTAACCTCCAATAAGTGACCACTCTTGAGGTACAGGCAAGTGGCGTCTTAATGGAGAGGTTGGCTGCTTAATAGGGGTTCATCATAAAATTAGCATAATCTTAAGCAGAAACATCACTTTATTTTGAAAGAAACACCAATGGGAACAGCATTACTGCTCCACAATAATGTCCACAGTCGGTTGGCATCTTCTATCTCGGACTTTATTTTCTTTCATCATATTCTTACCGCGAAATTTGTTGTATCGTGCTGCTCGTATTGCAAACTTTGAAGGGATTTTGGGTTTTTCTGTTCGGTCGATCATTTTAGTGAAGGTGGGGTTAAGGCAAATCACAATGTAACATGCTTGCCTAGCTTGGCTGAGGATGACTCTAGACTGCTCAAGAATAGCGAAGAAAATCCTGATGGTGAGTGGAGTCTTTGTCAAAGGAAGTGACAAGAATAAGAAAGATCATAAAAATCTACGAAGCAAACTTTAATAGCTAGTTGATTATTGCCCGAAACAGGACAATCACAAAGCAACCAACCTTGAAACAAGAAACAAACACAACAGATCGAAATCCACCAATCATGAATCACGAACCATGACCTTTTTAACTCGTGTGAGTAAACATGTGTTTTCTAAGAGGTCTGCTAAGATGATTGACGGAACAGAAAAACCCAAAGTTTGCAAAACACACATCATGATACAACTAAATCATTTTGCTATAAGACTTATCATAAACAAAGGTTACCGAGTGCAGGTGACAACGATCATAGGTCAAAATGCTTTTGCTCCAACACTGTGCTTCACGTAAGTTTTATGTGACAGATGATCAAAACACGCATGATTAGATTACGAGCGATAGAAGGTCCAAAAGTGCGTGATCGAATTGCGTTAAGGGCATTCCATTCATTCTTAGTGGAAGTCAAAACCAATGCTGGCTACATATATGCGACACATGCATAATAACAACCTGGAGATTACGTGCGACAAGAGGAGCGCGCAATAAAGCCAAACTGAGTGTTTTGGCCACTTGATGTCCACTTTAGAGAGGTGAAAATACTGGAAGAATTCTTGTTGGGAAGACCAAAAGTTGGCTGAAGCTGCTTAATAGAGGTGGCCGTTTAATAGAGGTGTAATTCCCCATTCTTTTACAATTATTATTTTGGGTTTTTGTTTACTCGCCCTTAATAGAGGGTGGCCACTTAATGGAGGTTCAACTGTAGTTAGATTTTCTAGTCTTCTTTATAGACAAGGAAGATAGGATATACAGCCCTGTCTAATAAGCCTTGACCATATAAAATTGTGTGGTACACCAACTTGGAAAATTAGCTTTTTTTGCCGATAACTGAAATGAGGTTTGTTCCTTTTTTCTGATTAACTTTAATTCTTTAATTTTTGGACTGTCACACTATTGGATATATTTGGTTTGGTTTGTGTCCAGATGCCGTTTTGAGCCATTTTCAATGATTTTGTGGAGGGTCGTAGTTTTCTACCTTTTGGGGGGTTTTTGTAGAAAATGAAGACCCTGGTCAAATTTATTGATAAATGAAGATCTTGTTGTTTCTTACACAATTCAGGTTGATATAGCCGTTTCTTCACATTCATAAGTAACTTTGAGGGGCATGTTCATTTTTAGGTCATATTCTTAGGTCTTCGTTTTCTACCACCTACAATCATGGACAAAAGTCCTTGGGACAGTACTGAAATATTCATATTTTTCTGTCATTTCTCAGGTCCCTCACAAATCCTTTTCGAAATTTTCTTGCAGTTCTCCCTCCCTCTCCCTACACAAAGCTGAAACTCGGAAAAAAAAAGTCTGGATACATGCGTCCAACATTGTTTATGAGGTGACGGAAGGGACTGGACCTGTGTGAATTGGAGAACGCCCCAGAAATTCAAAAGTGCCCCAAAACTTGCAGAGATGCCAACCTCTAGAGATTTAAAATCTGGAGACTCTCTGTTTTTCACTAGACTCCCGGATAATCCGGGAGGGTTGGCATGTATGAACTTGTCCATGATCGGTGTGCGACAAACGCAGACTGCAGACTTGCAGACCGCAGACCTGCAGACTTGCAGACCTGCAGACTTGCAGACCGCAGACCTGCAGACTTGCGGACTTGCAGAGACGTTCGGAACTCACGGGGAGGGGGGGGGGGGGATAATTGCCCCCGCAGGTTCAATCCCGAGGAGGCACTCTAGTAACTCGCGCGTATATTAAGGAAAGTACTTACAGTTGTAATATACAGTCAGTATGGCAGAAAAAAATCTCGATTTGCTTGAACAGGGGCCGCGAGGAATCGGTAGGTAATGATGACGTGATGAAGACAGAAAATTTCGAAGGGACGGGTCGGGTAGATTTTGTGACATTTATTGTGCACTCATACTTCGATACTCTTTTGCGTTACTTGTTATGAGTGACATTCTGTGGAGCAGTTGGTTCAGTGAAAGTTATGGACCAAAAGACACTCGTTAAGCGCAGATGAAGTTATAAGGTGCGTACAACCGTGTATATAGAAACACTTGGAGATTTTACCAGACACGAGTTTACAAATCTTTGATTAAAAACCTTGCCAGACACTCTTTCTCTCTCTTTGACCGGAATAAGACTCAGCCCGAAACAAGCAAGACGAGTGAACAACGGCTAGCTTATCACTAGCAGAACGATGGACGATTACAGAAATTCGCCGACAATCAAATTCTGTGCTGACTTATTTCCTGCTCACAGATGTCCTTCCGTTTTAAAGCCGCTCGATGATCCCACCAGTCTTCTTCTTCGCTGCTCTCGCTGAAGTTTAGGTCACCGTTCTTCCGATGTTAAGTCTTCCACGGCAAGGATTTCCAGTCACCTGTCGAATCGGGCACTGTTGTGTTTGCAGCCCGTTAGCGCTGTTGTTTGCCTCAGACATACTTTGCGATTCGCCAACAGTAAACAGAGGATGAATAAAATTAGTCCAAAGCCCTGTCACAAAAAATGTAGGTCTGCAAATCTTCGAGTCTGCAAGTCTGCTAGTCTGCAAGTCTGCAGGTCTGCAGGTCTGCAAGTCTGCAGTCTGCGTTTGTCGCACACCGGTCCATGATTCATGGTTGTAGCTTACCTTGTTGACTATGAACAGGCTTATTAGCTGTAACTTCCGGAAAAGGTGATTCATTTGGACAAATCTCCCCTTTGCGAGAATTGTGCTGTTTGTCTTTCCTTTTCTTAATTTTCACGTCTATTGTTTCCTGCTTTGATTTTACAAAAGTTTTAAAAGAGAAAGGATTATCTCTTCGCTCACCCTCCGCCATTTTGGATCCATTGTTGTTACCTCTGGGAGTTCTTTTCGTGGGCTCAAAAACAATTCTGATTGGGTAATCCTTGTGATCTGGCGATCTGGCCTGGCGAGACGCCTGGCGATAGACAGAAGTGTACACACATAGCAACAGGCACAAACATAGGGTACGTTTCCACCACAGTTGAGTTTTCAAAGAAAATTAAAAGATGGCGAACCATAAGCAACCGAGGTTCTCGACCTGGTCTCGGGAAACGTATGTTGATCCTATGAATACGCCAGCAAATAGATATTATACTCCCCATTTCATGGCATCTGGGGATGACCAAAGATATGGTGAAGGCAGAGAAAGGTGGTTTCAAGATTACCGCCGTTCGTACATAGCTGAAAAAACTTTGGTAAAAAATCTGAACACGTTTGGTTCTCCTTATCGACCAACCAGCTTTTCTGATAAGCCAGACCGTGTTCTGGGAACTCGGTGAATGCGAAGGGAAGCTGTCTTACATAAACCTCGACATCACCTTACAAATCGAATTCCCGACAGACAGAGAGACCGCGCTCAAATCGACGACATTGTATTTCAACATCGCCAGCAGTACAGAGACCAAAGTGGAACTTTGTTTGATGGAAAAGTGGATTATTTTCACTACCCAACTACGGCAGAAGAGCAGTTTTTGCCAAAAGCTAGCCCTCATGAAGGAACAATTGGAAGTTATCCAAATAACACAAAAGCAGCTTTGGAATACGTCTATGACAAGGAGAGAGGTCCTAAAGACTATGAATTGTGGCATAAGGTTTAGAGGGTTGATATTAGCAAGACGCACAGGCGATGTGATACACTGTATTAGTTTCCTGCACAGCCGTTTTTTGGGGATATCACATAGCAAGCATTTGGGATCCCCATATGCAATTGTGTTAAAAAATGAGAAATTAATTGAACTAAAATTGAGGTGGGTAGTGTATCTGTCATCTGGTCTAGACTCTTCAAAGCCTTTCTATTTTCTTCATGCAAAGTGGTGACACCCAACAGGAATGCCCACACCCTGGAGCAAGCAACTCCAATTTCCTATTTCAGGGCATTTTCACAGCATTGACTGGTTTGTGGGACTTAGAGATATTTTTAATCCATGCCCAAATCATTCTAAAGATATACTTGTTGGTAAAAAAGAAACAATGCAACGGGTCAGACTTGAACTCCCAGACCTCCAGATCCAGAGTTCAAGGTGTTAACCACTAGGTAACACATGCCTCCACATAGACCATATTGTAAAATTTTAATGTCAATAATTTTATTCGTTTTAAGTCAGGTATGTGAACTTCTGAGGGAACCACCTTAAAGACTCTAAACATTTCCCTCTCTTTATGTAAAAAAGTACAGTCAACGTTTGCCTTGTGGACACTGAGATGCAATACAGACAGCAGCTAACTCCCCTGGCAAAATAAATTAAGGATGTTTGGCTAATATGAACTCCTGCATGTGGACTCTTTCTGTAAAGGACACTATTAAACCACGGTCCGGGGGGGGGGGGTACTCCTGCGAATTTTGGATAGGGGTGTGCCGCGAAGGTTCGTGAACCTTAACCCTATTTAAGGACTAAGAAAGCGAAAACTGATACCCTTTTTAAGGCCCAAAGACGAAAAATGAAACCCTATTCAAGGAAAAACAAAACTATTAATAGCATGGAAAGGAAAACTATTTTTCTTCTCTGTAACATTGGATTTATAGCATCAAGCATAAAATACTAGAATAAGCCTAGTTTAAAAAAAAACCGTTCGTTTAGGAGGGCGTTTTCACACTCCAGTATTAGATAATACAATTAAGCTACCCTATCTATGGACCACACCAGGGACACAGAAACAAAAGGGTAAAAAAAGATACCCTATTTAAGGACCGAGAACCTCAAAAACCATACCCTATTCTGCGACACGTACCTATATAGCCCATATATGGGAGTATCCCCCCCCCCTGCACTGCATCATAGCTGTGTGGCTTATGGTGTCTGCACCACCCTGCCAGGGGGATTTATATTTCCTGAATTATCAACATTACTTATAATAGCCAAATTGGCTATCCTAGTATTTAGTCATGGAAAATGTAATATAGTTTATGCTTTGGATTATATTATATTAAGGAGGAAATAAAGTTTTAAACTCCTTACTATCATATGAGTCAGTTTTTAGTCTGTTTGATAAAAAGACAACTTTCCATGGTCTATACTGATATATAGTGTGGAACCAGGTGCCGTTGGGTAGTTAGGCTTCACTGCAAAAAGTTTGTCATTAATTTTTTGTTCTTTTGAAAGAATGTCATATAATAAAACATTTAATTAGCTTCATCATTATCTCAGTAAATGCAGTAACTTATCTCTAGCCCTGTTCACTTTGTGCTGGGGGCATAAATGTGGGCGGTTTGGGTAAATTTATCATACAGACATATTAAGAAGTACATCTATAGTTCTTTGCTTATGAAACAGAAAAAGGTTATTCAATGGTGGATTTATTCAAAGTTGTAACTTTTGAATAGCTGTTTGAATGGATGTGTTAATTAAGGCTGTGAAATAATTGCAACACAGGGTCTCCAAAAAAAAAAAATTCGCCTGATCGCAGGTTAGGTTCAAAATAGCACACTTGCTGGCCACTTTTCACCGAAGAAATAGAAAATGTCATGCTTTGATTGGCCAACTGAAATCGAAGTTGCTGGAATTTTTTAGTAAACATTTCATGTCAGACAATAAAGCAGCCAAGAAATGATTTAAATTAGCTGTTTCGAAATGTTTTAAAATGAGTAGAAAGGGTAGTAAAAGGTTTGGACATTTAAAGCAAGCTGCAAAAGTTGAAAAGGAGAATCTTGTTCACCGTAAATGACTAATTCTTTTACCCATTTGTTCAAGTGGGTGAAACATGCAAATTTGTCTAGACAATCTGTTGCATTACTGCCTTTATGTTTGTGTACTTGTAATTATAAAGATCTATTTTGCACAAAAATTGTTTAGTGCCATTTGTGAAGCCTTTTCACTCGATCAAATTTAAGTTAGTTTTGTATTCACATATTGCTTGACAGAATGGATTTCCCATGTTTGTGCTCCATCTTGGTTTGTGAGTGAAGAAGCACAATAATTATCTGTCTTTATTTGAAAGGGAATTGTTGCAATGAAACACGGTAATCAAAATGAAGATTCCAACGGCGACGTTTTTGCGAAATCTTTTTAAAATCACGTTATATTTTCCACGTTTCTCAAGGAAGAAAGTGAAATTTCAATTCAGAAAGATTTTGGTAGCGTGACATGCACGCTAATCGCTTAAAAAGAAAAAAAAGTGATTCATTATTGACAGCCAGGAAAAAATAGGCCTTTGAGACAAAGAAGCTGTGATTTTATTTTGAACTTTGCAACAGTCTGCGTAGGTTTTTGTGCAGCGGCGCTATAGACCTCTTTTATAATGGTGGTATATTGATATATTCTTTCATAAGTACGATAATTAGCCTTTCTGACCTCGTCTAAGCATGTACAAAATGAAAAAAAATTCTTACTTTTATACAAGGTCAGTTAGGCTAGTTATCACACATATAAAAGAATGTGTTAATGGCCTGCCATTATGTAAGAGGTCTATATAATGATGAAGAATTATTCCCAGATCTGCCCCAGTGTTCAGTCCAGGTGTGAGTCTTACCATAAAGGGATGCAGAAAATAACACAGCTTAGTCTGAAAAACAGGGTCAGGATTTGAAGGCACACGCTCATTAAAAATCCAGGACATAATAAAAATATTATTACCATGAAGTAATTTATAATATAGCCTCCCATGCAGACGTTCTTACGGGTTCATCACGCAATCATTCCTCGTGGAGTAGGAATGTGTGACGAACCCCTAAGAACGTTTGCGTGGGAGGCTATTTATAATAATAATGCAAATAAATGAGACTATTGTGCAGAAATAACCCAGTTGGGGGGGGGGGGGTACTGCCATATATGGGCTATATAGGTATGTGCCGCTGTGAAGGGTATGGTTTTCAAGCAGTTTACTCTAGGATAGGGTATATAAATCAGAGAGTTTGGGTCTAGAATAGGGTATCATTTTTCAGGAAACTGATCAGTTGGTTGAAGATTTTATCTAGACTAGGGATTGTGGTATAAGGTGTTGTTTTGGCTAGACTACTGTGCTAGTAACCTCAGTAGTTTCTGGAAAACAACTACTCTAGGATAGGGGGGATTTGGGGAGTTTACTCTAGTAAAGGGTGGCAAAATTCTAAACTTATAGCTAGCTCTGGTATAGGTTAAGGGTTCCAGGATCCCAGCAGCACATCCTCACCAAGAAATTCCTAAAGTACCCCCACCCCCCGGGAGAAATAATAGCTAACAGGAAGTAAACACAAGGTTGTGATAATATTATATATTATATTTGGCTTTCTTGTCATATGCAAATTTATTATTACATCTGTCAGACATGTTAGTATTATAGTCCAAAAAATGTTCAAACAAATTTAAAGTGCCCTTAAAAATGAAAAGTGAAAAAAAAAAATTCCAGTAACATAGCAAGATGTTGAATTCAAATTTTCTACAGGAAGCAAAATTTGCAAGGAAAAATTAACTATAAGTTTATAATAAAATGTTCAAATTTTTTTTTTATAAAACAATAGTATTCACTTATAACAGTGAATATTATAATGTTATTATGTTCAATAAGTAGCTGTTTCACACAGACATTAAAAGTTCATTTTCAAACAAGAGTCTGGGCCATTCCTTCTTTGCTGTTTCTTGTTTCATACAGTTGGTGTCACTTCAATTGAGTTTTATCTGTAATGGAAAAGATATAATACAAAAACTTGATTATTTGAGGCCCGAATTTAGTCACCCTAAGTGAATTAGTCCATTTATGCATGGAACGTGCAGGGGCCGGCCCAACGTCAATTTTTGGAAAATACCTGTTTGGAAGATGATTTGAGATCTAGAATTTTGTAAAATTTCTTGCTTGCCTGCCTCTCCTAGGATTTTCGAGCATCTAAAAAAATGGTATAATTGCATAGCTTTTTCAGAGAAAATAAAGACTAACTAAGAGGAGACTCTCTTACAGTCAAGGCAATAAGTCAAGTGTACCCCCCAAGATTTTATAAATGAATTGATTATTTGAAAATTGAATCTGTTGGTCATTCCCGTAACTAGTGTCAAATTCAAATTGGCATTTCTCCAAGCATAATGAGCAGTGAATATTTCACAAGAACTTTTCTGTATTTGGTCTTATTGAAAATCTCTAAACAGATAAAATTGCTTCAAAGACATTTACATCAAATTTAGGGAAACTGAGCTGGTAGAAATTCCATAACTGCAGCCTTGAGTGTGCCAGCAAGGATGCCGGAGATGAATCTGAAATCTACAACTACCAATGGATTCAACTTTCGAATAATAAACAGTGGCGGATCCTGGTGGGCCCCTCCCCCCGCTTATTTTTGGACCAAACTGAACTCTGAAGAGCTGAAAAATTTTTTTTTCAGACCAGGTCCTAACCTTATCGCAGGGTCTGGATGACCGCCCCCTTCCTTATCTGAAGGTCTGAATCTGCCACTGATAAATTTATTAATGGCACCTTGGGGGCATACGCTTGACCTGACTGGCCTGACTGCAAGCCTCACTATTTAAAGTCACTAGACAGCTCCTCACTCTCCTGCCACTTGGAAAAAAACATTGTCCTACATGTACTATCCTTGGGAATTTTTCATACGCCATTTTGATAATGACTAATTTTGAAGGCACCTATTTTTAAGAAGTCCTACGAAAATCCTCGTACTTAATTTCAGGGTTATTATCAAGGATTACAAACGCACCGTAGAGGGAACTTAACTCTTCTTGTTTTGTGGCCACCAGAGTTTGTAGTAATTGAAAATTAGTGGGTTTTTGTAAAACATTTTGTGAGCCTTCTCTTATCCACAGAATGTGAGCATAAAGAATTGTTACCTTTATCGGGAAAATGTCTTCTTTCCCTGTGTTTAACAGGTGTACTGTTAAAGTCAAGCCTACTGACATGATGTTGATTTGAGTCTCCCTTGAAAACAGAACTTGTAAACGCATTTGGGTTGTGTTTCCTGTTTGCTCGCAGCCAGTCTTGCTTAGAATTGAGTTCCACCGTACACCAAGATTCTATGTTCATAGTTGTGAAAAGATTATCAGAACCTTTTACGTTTCTGTGAGCAGGGTAAGAGCTGACTGAGTTGATTAAGTTTGCCAAACAAACTGAGGTTTCTATGGACACATTGCGCTAGTGCCAGTCCAAATACACTGTGCTGGAATGCGCCATCATCCGTCAGGCGTGGTTGCTAATTACCAGCCCCTGGTGTTGTGTTAGATGCGCGCGCGGAGACAAAATGAAGACAATCATTTTCACTGAAACTTCATTAGACACAAACTTTTTGAGTGTTTTGGGGTAGAAAACGTACCAGAGAGAATTTTCAACTTACAAAGGGAGATGTATGCGATTTACAAGCAAACGCACCCTCCAACAGGAGTGGAACATTGCGTGCATTGTCACTTTATGTCACCAGTAGAAAGTAATCTGGTCGTGGCCGGAACGTCTCAACTTCGAATTTACAGATTTTATAACCACGAAGAGGTAGGATTTAAAGATTTTTGTCATGAGTGATTTTATTCAAGTGTAGTCGTCGGTTAAACCTTTGATAATTAATACTGGATACAGTAACAATTAGTGATTAAACTTTAGGAGCCGGCCCACATGTACCGAGCAGCTGCATGTAGGCTGAACTGAGGTATATGACGAATGGTCGCTTAGAGGAAGCTCCGCGGATCCAATTAAACGAAAATTTAATACAGAAATAAATTTCCATGACACAAGCAGTTGACTACTACTACTAAACGACCTTCAGCCCTACAGATTTTGCAGTCTGACAAAATTCACACTATAGATATTAAATTAGTGCTCTTGTTCCTTTAGCCTTTGCTGGGATACTTGTATCAACAGGAAGAAGGGGCAAATGGAAATATGGGACTCTGTATGAGTATTTTGATGAAATCAAAGTTGCAATGATAGCTATGATAAAATGACGATCTTAGACGTAAAGCAATAACATCTGTAAGGACAACTGCAAGGCAACTTCTTGGACTTGTTGGGCAGCAATGATATAGCAGGGTTGAAACAATAATATTTATTTTTTTCTCCTTTTCTTTCAAAGCCTACATGTATTAATGATAGAGTAAACAGAAGGGATAAATTCTGTGACTGAAATCTGTAAATGAAACTTGTTCTTACAGCACAACACAGCAACATCAGCATCTTCAGAGAAGGTTGCAGGTTTGTTTCTTCCTGTTAACCGCTGTTTGAAATCCTAAGCTTCACCATCAACCTACCCTGCGAGCAGAGGCTACATTTTTGCGGTATGAGCTGGCTTGCGAAAAGTAGCCTCTGCCGACAATCGTTCAAATCCGTCCAGAAATCTGGACGAAAAATTAAAAAACGGGTTTTTTCTTGTTCTTGACTGGTTTAGAGTATTGTGTGAGTCTTGCGTCAGCAAATGAACACTGACCATTTTTGCGCCTTCATGCACCCTTCGCGCCAAATTCTCGCATATGAACGCGGATCAACGCAGCTCGTATAGCTCAAACGTGGCAACAGGAAAAGTTCAAAACAATTTCAAAAATCCCTGTTTATGTATTTAAAAGAGCGTCGTCAACAACTTGAATAAGCTCTGTATTTGAAAGCTGTCGGAATACCAAAACAAGCTGCTGCCGGTGCTTCTTGTGGGACCATGTAAAGATCGTTAATTTATCATATGGTAGTTCTTGTTTGCCAGGAAAAGAAAATGGATACTGCGGTGATTTTTGTTGTGTTGCCTCTCAATGCAAGGCTAAATGCACTGTTTTAAGACACAGATGGGAACCGGAATGTTCAAAAGAATCATCGATCAGTTTTCTTTTAGTGGAAAAAGCAGAAAAAAAGCTCTTAGCTGAACACTGATTCGCCCTCAAGGACTTCAACCTGGTTGGTTTCTTCACGGTGGAAGGCTTGTCCTGTTCTGAAAAGAAACCAAGGCGGCAAAGTTTTTAAAGAATTTTCAGGTACAACTTGCACATTAATGGTCAAGGAAGTTCCGTTTTTAAATGGAAATTTAAGTATTTATAGTTGTTTCATAGATGTTTTATACGACTTGAGACGAATTTTGTCATTGACATTTGATGTCTTCGGCAGCTTTTACTTGCGTGAAATGATCCACGATCCAGTTAGTATTACGCGAGTTGCTTTTAATGATCAAATTATGGGTTTTCAAATAAAACTTTTCGATAAATAATTTTTTTGACTACTGTTTTGTCTACATTCTTTCATAACATTAGTTTAAAACACAATCGTGAGAGTACAGCATCCAATTTATTTCAAGCATCACTTCTGCGTAGCGTTGTCGGCGAAGTTAATTTTTCACTTTGAGCACAACTGTGGTTTACTGGATCTGCTTTTGATAGATTAAAAGTAAGAAAATTTTTGAAAGCTTATTTGCACCCTAAGTTAACTGCTTAAATGGTCACGAAACTACCATTTTTTGAAATGAAAACTTCGTAAAAACGGGCCGGTGGAGTAGTCGTTTATAAATGGGTTATAACAGCGCTCCGAAAAACGTTTTAGAACATTTTTCCAGCTTTTGATATATAGCGTCAATGCGTCTGTAGCAATTTTTACAAACACATGAAGATGGTTTAACTCTGGCCAACAGATCATAACATTAGTGATAGACAGAATTTACTACAGTTGATAGCATTAAAATACTTTCCTAAAAAAGACGATCCATGGAAATTTTGCGGCTAAAATACTTAAAACCAGAGGGGGCGAAGCAGAAAAACAAAACAAAAGCTCGAGGAGAGTAGTTCGCAGGTAGTTTTCGCAAGTTTGATTCCCACGAAACTCGCGCAGATTTGACGAACCAGTTGCTTGCGAATTGCGTGATGAATTTTGCGCATGCACGATAGAAAATTGAATGGTTGTTGGCAGAGGCTACTTTTCGCATGCCAGCTCGTACAGCGAAAATGTAGCTTCTGCTCACAGGGTACCATCAACCAGATGATCTAAATGTTATGACATAGTTGTGACTATGACATATAGTTGACAGCTGTTTGCATACGACCACATCAGCTTTGCTGAATTTTTAATCAAGTTTAATTAAATGCTGTTATTATTATTATTATTATTATTATTAGTGTGTATTTGGTAGGCTCATAAATCCTTATAACAAAGTGACCACTGTTAGGCAAACAATAACATGCCTACATGCAGTGTAAAGACACCACAAGTCTTTCCATGGAGTGCTGGGTTAGCTGTACTCAATAGTTTGACTATTTCACTAATCTGGGATACAATCAATGAATTTTGATAAGGCAAAGAAATAGATTAAAATTGGTTTCACAGTACAGAAGTACCTACATGTAGTCTGTACTGTGATGATATTAGGTGGCAGGCAACATGGATGATGAAGTTTTTGAAAAGTGAAATAATAAAATTATAAGTGCCCACATTATTCATTTGTGTTGTTGCATATTTTTAATCCCTTTTGCCAAAGACCTTTAAATCTATAATTGGTTGTATAACAACTTGAATTTTGAGTCAAATCTTAATCCTTCAGTCGTTTTTCTTTACAGATAGCACTACTAAAAGAAAGAAGTTAGAGCGACTCAGCCAATACCCCTTGTTTGGTAACATAGAGTGCCTTCAGGCGGTTAAGCTGGCAGGAAACACAAGGGATTCACTGTTGATGAGCTTCAAGGATGCTAAGGTACAGTGAGTAATAATATTATTTTAAACTCATGTTAATGGAAGGTCGCCTCAGACAACTGCCGTTCAATTTTATGACACTGAGCATACACTGTCCTGATGATGTACCTTTAGAGAACTTAGATTATCTTTATAGGTAAATTGTTGTAACACTTAAGTTAAACTGGCATCTCAGAGCAGTTTAAATTGATAATAAACAACACTTTTGTAATGCACGCAGTTTAAATACACAAATATCAAGATGGCCTTATAATCAGGACACAGTCCCATGGTGTTCAGTTTGTGCACACAAACAACAAACCTCCTTTATCTCCCAACTATAATGGTGTAAATCCTCCATATAGGCAGCGTTTCTAATCTCCCTCATGAGCACCTTATGCACTGGATAAAGTGAGATGAAGGCAAAGTTATAAGAGAGCAATGCTGAGTTTTAGTGGAAAGGGACTGAGCCTATTCATACATGTACTTTACAGTTTCTTCCATGGGGAATGAGAGTGGCAAGAAAACTAACTGTTTGCTTTCATGCAATTGTGACTTAGTCCACAAAGGATAATAAAACAACCAACGCAACCCAGACAATTCCAATTTCGTTTAATTTGAAAAATAACCAAACTAAAGGAGGCCAATGCATTCGGCAGAAGCTAAAAATAAAATTTGCATTCACTTCCATGTAATGTAAACAAACACTAAAACTGACTTTAAGGTCGCTTCGCTGACAGTGAAGATGACCTTGCACACAATAGATTTTGTGTAAGAAAACCACACAAAATAAGTAGCTAGAACTTGAACTGGACCCAACAATTTCCAGTGTAATAAATGACAAAAATATGGAAAAGGCCTGAACTTGATTAACAAACTTTCACTGCTGTTATGTACTTCGTAAACACCTGCGTTGGCATGTCTGAGCACTAAAACTAATACACCAAACACAAAATCCTGAAAATGCCTGAACTGGATTAACAAACCTTCACTGCTGTTAAGTACTTCGTAAACACCTGTATTGGCATGTCTGAGCACCAAAACTAATCCATCAAACACAAGTGTTTTACAAAGTAGGCAACTAATACCTGAGTCTAAATGTCCCTAACACTTACTTCTGGCTGCACAAAAACTTGTTCCAGCTATGAAATGAAAATTTTATGAGCTAATCTCATGTCACAAAATGACGTGTACTGATTGCTTTGTCGATAACAAAGATCACACACTGCATTTGGAGCACATTACAAAATTACTTCTGAACAAATAAATAACATATATGATATCTCAAAAATGGTTACACAACAAATACTTGAAGGTTCTTGGCAAAACTCAATATTAAATTAACCGGCTTACTGGCAAAGATCTGTCAAAGATTTTCCTCTCTTACTATAAACCTCTGAGTGACACGATGTACCGGGAGTTGCCTTATGACCAGGAAAACACATGATACTGCTCGCGACAACAGAAACTGCGATTGGTTAATTTTAATTCATTGACAGTGCAGCTTGTTAGTGGCTACCTCAGAACATTGAAATTACTCAGCCATGAAGCGTGAGCAAAACGTTATTTTTTAAAGGCAAATTCGAGACATGATAATAAATTCAAATGCAAGCGGCATTAAAATGAAATGAACGCTAAATTGCTAAAATGAAATGAATGCGGCCAAGGTAACCTTGCCACACAATAGTAGCAGTGTAATAATCGACAATCAGCTTAGGATTAAACATCATTTTAGCCTAAAATCAAATTTGACCTGTAACACTTATACTTAAAGAACAGAGTGGATTGCCTTCAATTACATTAAAATTGAGCTTATGTCAAGACAAGCTTACTCAACCTGTTTCTCTAGGGCTTCTTGTTTTTTTAAAAACTGCATTTATGGGATTCAAAATTGCAACTGATTGGTCATTGGACCCTCAACTGGCATGTCTAAACATCAGCTAGAAATGATGATTGTGATTTACAAATGGACAGTGGGGTTCTCTTCTACCTGTCTCTGGTTGGGTCTGGTCATGTGACTCCAGAACAAAATTAATTCTGAGGGGGGAGTCCTTTGTCTAAAGGTACATCTGTAAATATAAAAAGGACAGTTCAAACTGCTATACTGGAAAACATAAGAAGACAAGATTAAATAGACTATACAGCTAGCGGGGTTTGAGCCAGGCCGCGCCATTGCGCCAATCCCGCACTGCAATTGGAATTGTCCCTTTAAGAAACGGCCAAGGGGACAACTTGTCCCCTTCAAATTTTAGGGAAAAAACTCGAAAGGAAGCACACACGAAGAGATTTATTTCAGTACAGAAATTGCAAGCTGAAACAGAACGTGGAAGTATAAGCACCTTAAAGTTCACCTTAAGCATCTTTAAAGTTCATTCCAAAGTTACATTTCAGTCACGCTCTACTGCTATTTGCTGATTCTTCGCGCGGTCGCGGAGCCGGGAAATTCACAAAAACACGAAAAATACTGCAAAATTCGGTAGAAATCTTATCAAATACATGTCTGTACAACATATTTGAAACTTATTTCAGCTATAGGGGCTATTTACTTGCCGTAAACTTGCAAATTTATCTTTACTTCGTCACTGAAACGTGCTAACAGATTGTGTTGTGAAAAACTGGGCACTAGCCATGATGTTAAAGGCTTTGCCATTGGTTCATTTCTGGAGCGTATTTTTGTTGAAAGAGCAACTGGTGACCTGTGTTAGAAAAACGTTAAAAAGGCTGGTCTGATCAGCACAAAACCGATCGATTTCTAGCGAGATTTGCCTTGAAAATAACCACAAAATCGGCCGTTTTTTACCGATTGCTTTTCGGTGAAGTTTGCCCCGAAAACACCTGCGAAATCGGCCGATTTTTCCGCGAATTTGTCCCTAAAAATCCCGCAAAATTTGCCTTTTTCTTCCGAGACCTATCAGAAGCCCTTCTAAGAAGACAAACCCCTTTGCATCAGCAGAAGGGTGTACAAATTTCTGTCCCCCTAAAAATGAAAATGTCCCCCAAAATTTTAGCCAAGGGGACAAATTGTCCCCCAGTGATCAAATCCTAGCTCAAACCCTGAGCTAGTAAATGTGACAAACGACAAGACTAATATTCCATAAATAAACTGACAAACATACTTTTGCATAAACTCAAAAAAATGACCAAAAAAACGAGGCTACAGTAATGGCACTGTATGAAGAAACTGACATAGAAATAAAAATAAGAAAAGACAAGCAGTCCACCAGGCTACGAGCATATTGTGATATAACTACGTGTTTTACTACCTTGAAGTATAATAGGCCCTTTGTAGCTTGTGGTCACGTGCCTGACCAATCTCAAGTTAAAACAAAGCATGCAAACTTGATTATACCAATGATTGGACCTATTGCTGACTCAAATTTTTTTTCCTGTGGTTGCCAGCTCCTGAATAAAGATTTTAACTCTCAGCCCTGACTTACCACAGATATATATTTTATTAGTAAAATTCAACTAGTGGTCTATTACTAATGCTGCATTCTGATTGGTTGAGCTACTATTAGGCTATATGTTATAGCCCACCAGTAGCAAAAAGTGCGGGCTTTTTGGCGGCAAAAAAGGATTAAATTCTAGCTTTAACCAGCTAAATTTTTTTTATTCTCGATATTTTTGACCAACTAGTTGGATTTTACTGTGGCCTGTGAGTCAATAGTCCATTCGGCCTTAGGTATCATGGGCTTTCGACTCAGAGCCTATTCGGGCTAGAGGAATAATTTTTAAATATCTTTTCAGTTTGCCATAGTTGATTATGACCCTGGAACTCATGATCTGAAGACCAGAAGTCTGCATTTCTTTGAAGATGAAAAAATAAAGGTAAGTTCTCAAATCATCATGTAAATATTGACTGTAACTACAAATGCAATAATGATGCATCTTCAGGTTTTGGGGCGACTACGCTAATGTTGAGCTCATGTCTTACTACTTACTCCACTGTATCCAAGAGAATCGACATGACAAAATTCTTCCTCCGATAAACTCACTCAGTCCAACATGACAGTTTGGAATTCGTGTGCCTCCAAA